ACCTTCGACTCGGCAAACCTGCAAGAAAGCACCACTCCCTGCTCAATACACAGTGTTTCGGGGAATTCACCCCGCATCAGTTGAGCTTGAGTAGGCTGAGGAAGATTGTGCCTGAAGAGCACCACTTATAATTATAGTGCTCTCCAGGCACAAACATCACCAGGGATACAAACTTACAGAGACGCTCCGCTTCCAGCGCGATAAACACCTCGTGAACACCAGATAGCAGCGTGAGTCAGTGTCGCTCCTGGACGGTGAGACAGAGAGAGAGGTTTGGAGGTGACAGCGTTGCGAATGACCGAGGGTCCTCGACGTCTGTCTCACCGTCCAGGAGCGACACTGACTCACGCTGCTATCTGGTGTTCACGAGGTGTTTATCGCGCTGGAAGCGGAGCGTCTCTGTAAGTTTGTATCCCTGGTGATGTTTGTGCCTGGAGAGCACTATATAAGTGGTGCTCTTCAGGCACAATCTTCCTCAGCCTACTCAAGCTCAACTGATGAGGGGTGAATTCCCCGAAACACTGTGTATTGAGCAGGGAGTGGTGCTTTCTTGCAGGTTTGCCGAGTCGAAGGTTCGATGGACTTCTCGTGTGCTCTGGATGGCAGTCGTGAGTCAGTCAAGTGTCAAGTAAAGTCGGCGGAATAGCGCGAGCTCCGGTGTGGGGAGCAAACCTTTCTTACAAATCATCGCCAAAGTCGCAACCACTACTTCGTAATAATAATAATAATAATAATAATAATCCGCCAGGAGGCACTCGAGAACGATCGCCCAGGAGTTGCTGGTACTCCGTGACTATTCTCCATCGCATTGGCCGATTGGGGTGTTGATTTCAGCATCAGACCTTCTCTGTGTTGCGCAAGTCACATGCTACTAGTCGCGGGGCCAGACCAAGCGCGCCCAACACTGTCTGCCTTATTTGGCCCAAAGGTCAAAGGTCAAAAAATGCGCCAGAACCCGCTTTTTACATACTACTGTTAAATCCGTCAGATGAGAAAACAGACCTTATCGCAAAAACTGTACAGTGCAGAAAAGTGCGCTTGAAAGTTGGCGAGTTTACCAGCTGGTGCGTTGTTGTTGTTGTTGTTGACTTTTATTTTACTTCACCAATTGCACAGGCATGATTGCCTTCTTACCGGCCTATAGGTCCGGTTCTCACAGAAAGATGAAGAAAATGATATGAGGAAATGTATAGAGATAAAGACATGCAAGCGGAGTAGAAGGTAACAGGAGGGTTTGAGGCCAAAGTTGACCCGGAAGTGACCTTGTCATGTTTTTGACAGGCTGTGGTTTGACCCTGTCAATTTGTGGTTTGACCTTGATTACTTTACCGTGACATCCGTCAAATAGTGTTACAAGATCACGTGTAACACCCGTGTACTGCGATGTAGTTGTGTTACCATAACTTTTGTAGAAAGTGTGACGGTAACTTTGAAAAGTGTGACGGAAACTTTGAAAAGTGTGACGGTAACTTTGAAAAGTGTTTGTTATGCGTGGGGAGCAAACCCTTTTGTTATGCTGTTACAAAAAAAAAAAAAAAAAAAAAAAAAATTTAAAACTGTATCAATGAAATGTCTTTTATTTTTATTACAAACTCTGTTTTTATCATTATTTGTTAAACTGTGTGCGTGCAACAAACTCTGCTTTCCCTCTGGAGTATCACGGTGAGCACCACCACCACCGCACCACCAAACCTGATACTCCACGAGCAAAACAATCCATCACCGTTGCAAGCCTGCTCGACTCTGCATGAAGCAACAGGCTAGCCGGCAATGACAAATTGAAGAGAGGTACCACTGCGAAGAAGACGATCACTTGCGTGCTACTCGAAGAGAGAGAGAACATGTACTCAGGATGTAGTCCTGTGAAGAAGACGATCACCTGCGATACATCTGAAATGAATGAATGATGCGATGCATCAGCCGTCTAGCGTCGTGTTTGGGTAAAGGTGAAGTGATGTGCGCTCAAGTGCATGGATCTACGCTAACTATTCACGGTCTGCGAGTACTTGTCATGCACGAACTTGTCGGACAGGTAGAACAATGCCGAAGACAAGTTGTCAAGTCTGTCCGTGTAGTTACTTTAAGTGCTTGACTGTGTTGTACATGTACATGTAAGGTCTTAGAGGTTTTCCCGTGGAAGCATACAGAAAGAGCGTTGGCACTAGTTTGAGAACAAATGTGCGCGGCAGTATTGTCTCAAGCTGTTTGTGGACAATTGCCTCACCTCGTGATGGAGAAAATGCAAGCGCATGCATACCGAGACGATGACGACGAGGAGTGCTCACCTCGGAGTTTGCACCGTTATGAACAAACACGCACGGCGGCATCGTCTCAAGCGGCTTGTGGGACAATTATTTGCCCACCTCGTGATGGAGAAAATGCAAACGCATGCATACCGAGACCACGAGCGCTCACCTCGTGACGATGAAAATGCAAGCGCATGCATACCGAGACGATGACGATGAGGAGTGCTCACCTCGGAGTTTGCACCGTTATGAACAAACACGCACGGCGGCATCGTCTCAAGCGGCTTGTGGGACAATTATTTGCCCACCTCGTGATGGAGAAAATGCAAACGCATGCATACCGAGACCACGAGCGCTCACCTCGTGACGATGAAAATGCAGACGCATGCATACCGAGATGATGAGCGAATCGTCTTTTTGCCATAGAGTAGGGTGGGAACGAACGTGCACGACGGCGTTGTCTCAAGCCGTTAAGCAGCTGGTGCATCCAGCACCCCACCCGACCAAGCAGCTGTTTTGACTAGTGTCCACCCGACCAGCCGGCATTACCTATTGTCGCGCAGATACCCATCCTCATTCATCTGCTAGCTATAAAACCTCATCCCTTCCTCCACTCGGTATCACTTATCCCTTCCAAGTTTTAACGAATTAACTCTCTAGCCTGCTCAGCCATAAAAAGATATGTTTTCCACAACTTTTCCCAAAATTTTCATTAATGATGGCGTGGAGAAGGGCCTCCAGACGAGGCACAAGGGAAGGGGTCGCACCTACCCAGATCTCGCACCAGGTGCGACTTTTTTTATCCTGAAACCACGGTACCCGTCTTCGTTGCAGACGGGATAGCCAGAAAAGGGAAGTACTCCCAAGTTACGATCGAACTGCCCGTGGACCTGGCGGAAATCGTCAAGACGGTGATAAAGGTGTCACCGTCGATTCGGCGAGCTATTTCATCCGAGCGGGTGAAGAAGATATCTACGAACTTCTTCCCGACAAAGCTGTCATCCCCCGTCGCTGGGGGTAAGAAGGTTGGCGTCGATGTCTACATGAAGATGACGTCAACTCTTTGTGCCGATGATTTCACCATGAACAAGGTGGCGCAGTACGCAATCTTCGTGTCGGCCGTATCTTGGTGGCGGGATGCTAAGAAGTATAAATGCACAATCAGCGCTTGTCCGGTGGACAAGATCCCCAAGACCGGAGCAAGCATGAGAGGTATGACTGAAGGCGACGGAGAAACCTTCGTCATTCCTGACGAAGAGCTCGGAAAATTGACGGAGCGTTTCTCGGAGAAGTGGAGTTCAACCACAGCTAGCAGCGACGACGAAGACGACGACGCGCTAAATGAGCTGTTCCACGATGTATAATGTTTAACTTTACGTATGTACCATGCACACACACACACACACACACACACACACACACACACACACACAGCTCTGCCATGCGTTTGATGTTGGTGTGACGTTGTCACAAACTACACGTATACAATGAGATAATGATTGAAACAGATTATGACGAGATAATTACTCTTTTGTACAGATGCACGTATTGCTCTAAATCATTTTCCCTTTATCACAAACTACACGTATACAATGAGATAATTGATATAGCTATTACTACGAGATAATTACTTTTGTACAGATGCACGTATTGCTCAAAATCATTTACGAGGCAGTTTAATAATTATACGCAAATGTTTTATACAATGAATACTACATCACATTAAAGTATGTTCGTTTACTATCGTGTTTGCATTATAAAATGAATATTACTACATCACATTGAAATACGCTCGTTTGCAATGAATAGTAAAACTAAGTTACATCTCTTACTGGTGTGGAGGGACAAGTTCATCAGCATGTTCAGGATTCATAACTTGGTATTTTCTAGTAATTTTTGTGGAGCGGGTGGAATGCCCGTCCGTGTACCAGGATTGTTTTGTTGTCTTGATCTTAACCAGTGTCAGTCGAATGCCGTTGTGTCCTACAACGACGTTGTCCGTGTATGTGTATCGAACAGTCGTGACGATGCGGGTAATTCTCGATTCCATATCTAAACAAACAGGCATGCATATGCACTGCGGTTAGCCTTGGTGGGTTTATTGCAATTTATACACCATTGCAGCGGGACTCTTACCTGGTTGTTGTTGTTGTTGTTGTTGCTTGCTTGAGCTGTTGCTGCTGTTGCTACCGCCGTCTTTCTTTCTCTACTCGTTCTTTCTCATTCAAATGAACAGCAACAGTTGGTGCAGAGTCTAGTACTAGTAGATGCATTTTGCTCCTTCTTCCCGCACTGTGCATCACTCAGTCATGAGCTGTCAGACGTATGCCATGCCATGCATGTGCAATGTAAATTAGTTCCCCCACGCGTGAGCTGCAGCGAGGCTGTGTTGTGCTAGGAACATTGTACTACTAGTACTAGGTGTTCTGGGTAGGAGCACGTGCAGAAAGAATGAGTGCACATGTCATCTGTCGCGCGTGCAGCTCTACCAATACGTCAATGTCTCCATTTATAGCATCGCACTAAACAAGTTAGGACTTGCATGCTAACGTGTCAATAAAAGTACTTGCCCATGACAAGTCGATGAGTATGTGCAGGAATGCTCCTCACACGTCGTAATCCGAAGAGGGACTAATTACATCATGGATCGAAGTGTATGTATATGCTGATGTCGTGCACAAGATCCAGGTGTACAAGGTATAAAAGTTCATTTCTTCAACGCCGAATTAGCCATCGGCGAGGAGATCTTTCAAGATGAAGCGCGCTCACTCTTCAGGGGAGGAGGAGGAGGAGGAGGAGGAAGAGAAGGAGGAGGAGAATACTGCTCCTCCCCCATCAAAGAGTGCGAGAGTTGCAGATGATTCGCTCTTTGAGCTGAGACGTAGCGCACCTCGAGGTTATCTCCAAGAGTACCGAGCCGCACTGAGTGATGATCATAGAGATGTGATGTCGGTGTTCAACGAAGTAGCACCGGACGTGCGAGGTGTGATGAAGAGCGAGCTTGAAGAACACCAGTACAAAGCGGTCGTGGTCGTTTGCGTTACGCTTGAGAGAAGCGATGCTGCGGGTGAAATCTTTTCAGCATCACCTTTCTTCCGCAGTCGACCTATGATCATGCTGAACCCATCCAACGTTGACGATCAGCTACCCGGCGCATTTGGTAAGATCATCGGTAAACTCGATGCGTGGATACAGGCTGGCTCGGGATGGACGGTGACTGGAGTGAAAAGCATCAACATCGACATTGCAAAGTATAAGCCTATGCGTGGCTCTTCGTACTTACCTCTCCCGGACAAGATCGCTAAGACCAGGAGCATCATCAATGTTCAGAATGATGATGAGCAATGCTTGAAATGGGCGCTCTTATCAGCACTCCACCCGGCGGAGCAGCACGCTCATCGCGTTACCAAGTACGTGCGGCATGCACAGGATCTGGACTTTGATGATGTCGAGTTTCCCGCGACTCTCGCCGATGTGTATAAGGTAGGCGTTGTGAAACGCTATTGCATCTGTTTGATCGATATCTGTGCACTCGTGTGTAATTGTGCGCGCGCGCGCGCGCGTGTGTGTGTGTGTGTGTGTGTGTTTGTAAGTCACTCATTCATTTGTGCGCTTTTTCCGGCTTCTTGTTCACGCGTGTAGGTGGAGAAGAATAATAACTTGCACATCAACGTGTTTGGCTTTGAAGGCGAGTGCCTCTTCCCGCTGAAGCTGGTGGACTATGATAGTATTAGTGGCGATGATAGCGATGTGATCAACCTGCTGCTAATCTACGACGAGATGGTGAATCACTTCTGCTGGATCAAGAACTTCAACGGTCTGTGCTTTCACTTGAGCAAGTGCAGATCTCGGACTCACTTCTGCATGAGATGCTTGTCAGGACACCGCACCCCCGAAACGCTGAGGAATCACCAGCGTTACTGCACGAATGTCAAGCCTGCCGCAGTGAAACTACCGGAACCGGGAGAGACGCTGAGATTCAAGGATGTTCAGCGTAGGATGAAGATGCCGTACGTAATCTATGCCGATACGGAGAGCCTTATCGTACCGAGCTCGGAGCAGCATGGAAAGCATACGGTTCGCAATGCAGAACACGTCCCCTGCGGTGTTGCCTACGTGGTAGTCCGCTCAGATGGAACGGTTACGAATCGATATCTGTGCAGAGGTGAGTCTCAATGCACTGCATACACTCTTAATGATATGCCGTAAAAATGCTCCTACTATGATGTATCCATTTGATGTATAATAATAATATTATAATTGCATCAAACTCATGAAGTGTGTGTTGTGTGTGTGTGTGTTGTGTGTGTATATGGACGTGTGCTATCCAGGAGATGACTCAATCGAGACGTTTTTCGAGCAGTTGACTAGCGAGGATGGGAGAATCACCGAGGATCTCAAAAGAAAGCGGTCGTTGACCATGACGGACGATGAGCGGCAACGGTTTGCTAACGCTTCTGAGTGCTGGATCTGCAACAAGCCACTCAACGCCGATCGAGTGAGAGATCACGATCACATCAGCGGAGAGTTCCGCGGTGCTGCACACAACGCATGCAATCTTCTTCTACGCATCACACCAGAGACGCATCCAATTCCCGTGGTGTTCCACAACCTTAAAGGTTATGATGCACACATGCTAATTTCACGGATCGGTGTCACCACGAGTGAAACGAGCAGTATCACGCAACCCAGTGGAAGAAGCGGACTCAAGAAGGCGGGTGAGATAAAGGTGATTCCGAACAACATGGAAGGCTACGTGTCGTTTTGCTGGGGGAGATTTCGCTTCGTGGACAGCCTTGCCTTTTTGAACGCATCACTGGACAAGTTGGTGAACAATGCGCCTGGAGAGTCGTTCAAACATCTGAGATCTCTCTCTGCGATTCACGCAAGGCGGATGAATGGAGGTAACAGCGCCAGCAGCAGCAGCAGCAGCAGTACCAGCAGCACCGTCACCAGCAGCAGCAGCAGCGTCACCACCGACACAAGCGTCTGCAGCGGTGTCAGTGTCTGCGCTGACACTGATGATGTCTCCCATCCCGGCAGAGATGATGACGATGCTGATGATGATACTCCTGTCAACCCCGACGACTTGTTTGAGCTTCTCCGTCGAAAGGGTGTATACCCATACGAGTACATGGATTGTACGATGAGGTTTGGAGATACGTCGCTCCCTCCAAAGGAGAAGTTCTTCTCTGCGCTATCGGAGAAGCATATCAGCGACAGCGACTACGAGCATGCTCAGCGGGTATGGACAGCCTTCCAGTGTCGGACAATGGGAGACTACCACGACCTGTATCTCGACACGGACGTGAATCTCCTCGCGGATGTATTCGAGACCTTCCGAGCCACGGCGATGGGTACCTACGGTCTCGACCCAGCGCATTATTACACCCTGCCGGGTTTCGCCTGGGATGCACTGCTGAAGTTCACTGGTATCTCTCTATCTCTTCTGAGCTGCGTGGACATGCACCTGTTTATCGAGCGTGGTCTGCGAGGCGGGGTATCGATGGCCTCTCATCGTCATGCCAAGGCCAACAACAGGTATGTTCGCATGCAAGCGTATAAGTAACTCTGTTCGGTTTTATATTGCAATTATACATGTATAAATACTTGTGGTGTAAATACTTGCGAGCTCATAAATAACATACACCTACTAATTACTGTGTGTGTGTGTGTGTGTGTGCGTGCGCGTGTGTGCGTGTGCGCGTGCGTGTGTGTGTGTGTGTGTGTGCGCACGCGTATGCTCTACTGTATTAGATACATGGCTACACACGATGCAGGCAAGCCATCCACCTATTTGCAGTACCTAGATGCGAATAATTTGTACGGTTGGGCTATGTGTCAACACCTACCCGTATCCGACTTTGAATGGAGCGTTCCCAGCAGTGAGCTTCTCGCCGACATCCTCAAACATCCTAGCGATGCGTCAAACGGCTACATCGTTGAGTGCGATCTTTCGGTACCGGATCATCTTCACGATCTTCTGAACGATTATCCACCAGCGCCGGAGAAGGTCAGCATCGGTGAACACATGCTCTCTCCGTATCAGCTGGATCTGCTGGAGAGCACCCCCATCACTGGACTCGCAGCCGCGAAGCTGGTACCTCACCTGCTACCAAAAACACGCTACGTCCTGCACTATCGGAATCTACAGCTCTACGTAAAGCTGGGTCTGAAGATTGATAACGTGCACCGAGTGTTATCGTTCAAGCAGTCGGCATGGATGAAGCCCTACATCGAGCTGAACACCGATCTGAGAAAGAATGCAGCCAACGATTTTGAGCGCGACTTTTTTAAGCTTATGAACAATGCGGTCTTCGGCAAGACAATGGAGAACGTGAGGAGGAGAGTGAACATCCGTCTGCTGAGAGTCGAAGATGATGAAGACGTGATCCTCACGGCCGTTGCAAAGCCCACCTATGCCAGACACGTGATGTTCGACAACGGTCTGATCGGCGTGGAGAACAGGAAGCTAAGGGTAACGCTAAAGAAACCGGTGTACGTTGGCATGAGCGTGCTTGATCTCAGCAAGGCGCTCATGTACGAGTTCTACTACGCACATCTGAAGGCTCGCTACGCAGAGCGTGTCACTTTGCTCTACACGGACACGGACTCGTTTGTCCTGAAGTTTGCCACGGACGATCTGTACGATGATATGATGAGCACCATCGACGAGTATGACACGAGCAACTACCCGTCTGAAAACCCGCTTTACAGCCAGCAGAACAAGAAAACCGTCGGGAAGTTTAAAGACGAACTGGGCGGACGTCTGATGACTGGGTTTGTGGCGCTTCGCTCTAAGATGTATGCCTATGACGGTGAGGAGAGCGGACAGCGTGCAAAAGGCGTTAAAAGAAGTGTGACAAAGCAGTTCACCCTGAGCGACTATGAGCGATGTCTGACACACCGGACCGTCTCTGCTCATCCGATGACAGCTATTCGGAGTCATGCTCACCGCGTCTACACCGAGACTATGACCAAAACGTCTCTATCTCCTTTTGATAGCAAGCGCTACATCCTGCCTGATGGTGTATCTACGCTGGCATACGGTCACCATCGCATTGCACAGTCAGACGTGCAGTAGCAGCAGCAGCAGCAGCAGCAGCAGCAGCAGCAGCAGCAGCAGCAGCATCAGTTTCTCCACAGTGAAACGTTAAACATGTCATTCATTATTGGTATGATGATAAACAATTACGGAATATGCATTACATTGTTCAGTTGATGGGATTTATCGGAGTGAAGTGATGATGATCGTACTAGTACTAGTATGCATGTTGACATGTCTGTACAAGTGATTTTGTATTCATGATGATGATGATGATGATGGTGAATATAAGACTCAGAGTTTTTCAAATTGATCCTTGGTGATCCATGAGTTGAATTTGTCCGGGTAGCCTTTCCACTTGACCAGAAACCGTCCGCGCTGCCTGCGCAGGACTTTGTCCACGCGAAACTGTGTTTGCATGGTCCTCTGCAACTGCTGTTCGTAGAAGCTCCCAAGAATGGGCTCATTCATGAGATCTCTTATGCCATAGGTGACGGGCTGGGTTGGCAGCACACGGTCGATAAGGAACACCTCCTCGGTCCAGTTTGGCGTGTAGCCCTTTTCGAAATGACGCTTGCTCACTGCTATTCTAACCTCATCATCTACGCTGTAGCGAGGGTCTGCACGTGGTCGATGCGTTTGGGGGTGATCCTGTACGAACGGTGCATTTCTTTTCAATGAAGCTTCCGTGGGTGTCATACGGATGCTGCGATGCTTGCTGTTGTTGTAGTCGTGCACCAGTCTGGGCAGTACATCTATGTACACGTTGGTCGATTTAGCGGTAAAGTGCTGCCACATGCGCGACTTGAGCGTTCTGTTGAACCGCTCCACGACAACGGCCTTACCCTCGTTGTGCGTACTGTACATGTCGATATCCCGCTCCGCCAGCCATCGTTTGAGCACTGCATTGTAAAACTCGGTTCCCTCATCGACCCATAGTTTTCGGGGCGAGCGTTCGCTGTCACTCGTGATTCTTTGAAAAGCGTCTCTCACGCTGGCACCGGTTTTCCTCTTCAGAGGTATCACCCACGCATATCTGCTGAACAAATCAATCACGGTGAGCAAGTGTCGAATCTCCTCGTTGTACTTCGCATAGGCCTGCATGTCGACTAGATCCGCACTCCAAATACTGTCAAGCTCATGCACAATCACTGGTCTGCGGGGAAAGTGCACGCGTCGAGGTCTGTGCAGATCGCGTGCCAGACGATCCGTCCAGCTATCGCGAGTGTTGCTGCTGCTGCTGGTGCTGCTAGCGCCGCCGACTGAGATCTCGTGAGCGACGTCTTTTTCCAGAATCTTACGATCGTTGTGAAGCGTGTCGCTGTCGAAGAGCTTTGACAGTGCATGTAGAGTTTTCTCGATGCCACCCTCGGAAAAGAGACGTCCGACAAAAACTGCATAATACCCGCACACCGCAGTCGTTGTGTCCTGTAGCACCTGAGTGTTGGTGCAGAGCGTGCAATCGGAATAGGCTTCTGCAAAGTAGCGCTCCAGACCGGGCTCGTGATAGTCCTGCTCCATACGAGCGAGCGTGCGACCAAAGCTGTCAAAGACCAGCACGCGATTCTTCTCTCGACATACCGTCAGCCAGTGATGTCCACCCTGAGGTGGATCGTACAGTGGTAAAACGTTATCCGTGTTGGCAACACAAAACTCGCCATCGCGCAGATCAGCCAGCAAATCGTAGCTGCACACACCTACAAATCCGTTCACGTGCCGCAGACGATCCTCGACGTCTTCGTTGCTCAGCGGTTCATCCATTCTGCTGAGCGTGTGTGTGTGTGTGTGTGTGTGTGTGTGCGGTGAACCTCATACTCTATAGAGAATTTCCTCTGAGAATTGCATAAACCTTTCGAATGGAGTGGTTGTTGTTTTTCAGCACGCCAATCACAAAGTCTTTGTCGGTGGTGAGAACCCTGTGCAAGCCGTGCATGAAGTGATCCGGGTTCATGAGCTGCGCTTCCACCGTGCTTGCGTACGTCTGTGACATCTCTTCCAGGCCTCTGAACTTGTTACCTGCCGAGCCGGGGACGGTGAGCGAGAGCTGCAGGATGGTGGCCAGTTTGGTTCGAAATCCCGAGAAACCTGACAATTGCGCCGTGAGGCCGAGGTCACGCAGTGCCACCCTCTCGAACGGGTATTTAGCCAGGTAAATGCGATTAGTTTCGTTCGTCAAGGCTACATAGTCTCTCCAGATCGTGGACTCGACGCGTTGTCGTACACTTTCCAGCTCGCCTGCAAACGTGGATGGATTATCGTCGAAGAGCTGCTGCAGCTGAACTCTGGCTGTGAAATAACTGCTTTTCAAAAACACCATGGGTATGCTCCGTCGTGTTAGCTCATCCGATAAGATCTGCAGCATGATGCGATCGAAGTCCGAATCCCGTGTGATGCTCAGTGAGAGCGTGGAGACGGGAGCTTTCTTCTGCATCCTCACGTCGGCCATGGACCCCCGAACCGCTCCTGTGCGAGCATCGTAGTCGAGCAGATCCGATGCGATCACGTTCAGGACCGATTCGTAGTTGATAAGATCGGGACTGTGCTTGAAGTGACGCTCGTACAAGCCCTTGACGCTCGGGTGCTTTTGAAGTTCGCCTCGAGACAGTCTGCTCAGTGCATGTTCAGGTATGTGCTCCAGAGCTTTCTTGGCGTTTCTCAAGAAGTCGCCGTACTTGCTGCTGCTGCTGCTGCTGCCTGAACCTTTGAGCTCGACATCTCGAGAGCGCTGATGAGGGGCTATACCGACTACTTCCCACGACGTCTTTCTTCTTTTCACAATGTGTTGAGGCTGCCGTTGCATGAACTGGAGAGCCTTTGCTCGCTTCGCTTTCGGTATCGAAAACGGACGTGCATCCCGATCAACGCGACTAATGCTCTTCGGCAGCCCCTTGCTAAATCTAACCACAAGACGCTCCATAGTCACACATGCACATGCACGTTGCACGTACGATCGTCAACTCTCTCTCTCTCACTAGTTGGGGGGATTTATTTTCATGCCAACCCTGTCCAAATCGCTGGGTTTTACACGAACCGTCTCCAAGTGTGCTGGATTTTATCCATTTGCGTGCACACACACACACACACACAACACCGAGGCTTTGAGGCGTGATGTGAAATATACTTTACACATAAAGCGCAGTACATGAATCTTTCGTATAATGCCAGTGTGTGTGTGTGTGTGTGTGTGTGTGTGTGTGTGTGTGTGTGTGTGTGTGTGTGTGTGTGTGTGTGTGTGTGTGTGTGTGTGTGTGTGTGTGTGTGTGTGTGTGTGTGTGCGCATGCGCGCGCACACACATGCATGAATACAGGAGTTGTTCAAACTGTACCTTGTAAGTATAGTCATTGCAATAAGTGGAATATTCATTGCGCGAGCAGTGAATGGCTAGGATGGGGCGTTGACATGCAGCAAGAAGCTTCTCGTACAGTGTGAAAATCAGATTGGATTTGATGCACTGGCCGCCAAACAGAGTGCTCAGGTAGCGTCTGATGTTGCTCTTGTCCGTGAAGCGAAACAGATAGAGAAAGTTGGCATTGATCTTCATGTCTTTAATGTTATCAAAGCTCTGCGACAGGAAGAAGACGTTTAGCTTGTAGTGGTGACTGTACATGGTGAAGAACTTGTACAGGCACTCACGCTGATTACCATGCTTGAGCGACATGACGCGGATGTCGTCGATGATCACGTACGTATGCTGCTCGATTTTCATCTCTTCGATGCTCTCGGGCAGGGTGCTGTAGTGTTTGAAGCTCTTCAGCCCCGCCAAGCGATACTGCTCGGCGGGCGTGTTGGAAATGATCACCAAACGCTCGGGCTGCACCTTGTTCAATAGCTTCATCAGAAAGTAGGACTTGCCCATGTTACTCTGACCCAAGAACATCACATTCTGCCCCCACCCGCGAAGGGCAGGTATGATTTCATCGAACCAGTCCTTTCGCTGATACTCGATCCCGGGAATGACAGGTGGCGAGTGCGGATCATGTCGTGCAGATGCAGGTGCAATAGCCGGAGATGGAGGGGGAGGAGGGGGAGGAGGGTAATCGCCCGCACTGCGTCTCGACGCAGTCGAAGAGACAGGCCGGCGGCGTGAGAATAGCGTACGGAAATCCATGACTCTCTAGCTGTAGGCGGAAAAATGTAATCAAATGTTGAACGAAGGGGTCATGTGCGCTGATGATGCTGCTGACGAGTTGTTGCCGATGCTCGCTCTGTTCAGATTCTCCCGTATCTTCCTTGCAAAGGGTGTGTCATGTGTGCTAGCAGCAGGAGCGGCAGCGGTGAAGGTGGGTGATCTTCGTCGTTTGGATGAAGACCTCGACAGTGTTCCACGGATTTTTGATTTTATTCTGGACTTGGTCTTGCTTTTAACCTTTTGAAACAACCGTCTGCCGGTGGATTGCAACTGCTCGCTCACGAGACGCTCTGCTCGCTGCTTCTAAGTCCTGCCGGTCCTTTTGGTTCGTCTACCACGCACGGTGCGACGAGATGATGACGATGATGATGATGACGATGGCGATGATCTTTTCCGCTTGGTGCGCTTGCCGGGTGACCTTTTTGCATGCTTCACATGTGTCTGACGTTTTCGACGTACGGTACGAGTCTTGGTACCATCGCCAAACACTTTGTCCACCACGTTGTCACCCACAGAGGCCAATGCACCCATGGCGAGAGGGATGCCGATGGACTTCAGCAGCGGTAGACCTTTCGCTAGCAGGGCAGGTGGTATGGACAGACCGCCGCGTTGCATGAGCGGATCGCGAGCCATCATCATCTGTCTCTGAATAGCATTACCACCGAGACCGTCATTATCTTTACCTTTTCCGTTCATCAGCATAGGGAGTAGAGAGAGTCCAGCTAAAGCCCAGGGAAAACCACCACGTTGCATAGGCAGTTCATTTTTGGAGGGTTGTGACATGCGCTTCTGCAGCTCAGCCGGACCGAGTCCGAGCAGGTTACCGATAAAGCCAAGAAAGCCGCCGCTTTGGCGATGGGTGGTGCTCAAGTCACCACCTTTCACAAATCGCTGTTGCGTCGCTAAGTCACCGCCATCCATCGCTCGCACATTGCTTCTTCCTTGCTCTAGTGCAGAGAAAATTCTTCAAACCATCTCGCTCTTGATGCCTCTCTCCTTGTCCATGGTGTACATGTACTGATCCATGCAGATCATGTTGATCTTGATGGATGTGGACGCGTGACTGGGTACATTGATGGGCGAGTTGGCCACAGCGGCAAACTGATAGTCGACTGTTAGATTACCACGA